AGGTGTACCTGCAATGCAAGTGGTACTTGATTAGGGTAGAGAGGCTTATTTCAAACGAGGCCCTCACAATAAGAAGAATAACTAGTTATTTAAAAGTAAAGGTTTTTTTTTTTTGTTTTATGAATTCTACAACTCTCTACTTAGCCACATCTCTTCTATTGGTTTTTCTTTCATTCAATCATTAATTCTTTGATAGCTTAAACTAGACTCCAATTTGGAAATAGGTTTTTCACCTTAATAAAAATAGACCAAGGACACGATGAAACGGTTAATATCTACTTAGTCTCATATGAGAGTCTAATCTCCTTATAAAAAAATGAAAGACTAATCTCCTTATTATATTACTTTGAAAAATGTAGGGGGTCAGATTTAGCATTTAGGCTGCTTTTCTTCGACTGTGGGGTTGCATTAACAGGTACTATGAACTCCCCCCCCCATCCCACACATCTAACTAAGAGCAATTAACCGGTTCTTAAAAAAGTTTTTCATTTGTTGAGCAGAGTATAGTTCACTTCCCCTTTTTCTATAGCTTCTTTCCACCACAAAGCCGCCAATCTAGTTTCCCGTCCCCTCTCCCACTTAGAAACCCTACGACAAACTCCCATATTGCGTCTTCCTCCTAAGTTTTTAAATTTTTTCTATTTGTGATTTCTCCATCTTTTCAGGCTCTATTTTCTAATAATTAAAAAAAAAAGACTTTCTTCTTGTATTCATATTCAATTGAATTATTTTGTTTCATGTAATTTTTAATTTTATTGGTTATTTAACTTTTTCTTAGATTTTTGTCTTACATCAACCAATGTTTTTTTTTAGGAATGGACATGTTATTATGGAACAAATATTAATGGATAGAATAAAAAACTAATTGAATTCCTCCATTACCAAAAACCATTAGGTAATTCTAACTCTTTCTATTGCAAAACACTATTATAGTTTGTTTCAGTTATTATTTTGCATTGGGCAATTTTAATTCTTTTTATTGCAAAACTCTGTTATTGTTTGTTTAAATTATTATTTCTTATATAATTTTTTTTTACAAAGTATAATAGAGTTTTACGAAATTAAAAGTATTAAACCCCCGAAAAGGTTTTTTTTTGGTACTAGAGGAATCAATCCGGCTACATAGAGAAAGGCTAGAACAATATTAATGGTAACATATCTGTTCATTAATCTTATATACTGAAGCCCCACGTATAATAGGACATCCTCTAATTGATCTTGCACTAATGCAATGACAAGAATAATAGTTCCAAGTATAATTCCCCCATAATTATTCAATCCATGACGGATATCTAACATTATCCTATCCGGAGTACCAAATGTCTCTAACACAAATATATCTACATACGTCAAAACAAGTATTCATGCCACTGGCAAATGGCATTGTTAAAAATATTAGGAGAGGAAACATACACTAGAAAGAAACTGGTACAGTTCTAAATTTTAGGCACATAAATGAAGGAGAACTTGGTAAATATTTAGAGGAACCTACTTTTTTGCAATATCAGCACACTTATTGACTAAATTATCTATCTGATTGAGAATCTACAAATTTTTTACATATATGCACTTTATGCCCCATTTTGAACGGCCAATCTATGAGTTCAAAATTTATATTTTTTCTTGAAAAGCGGGAAATTGGGCAAGATCCACGGAAGTCAGTAGCACATTACATATTCAATTTTTTTTTTTAAAACTAAAATATGATTACACACTATCTCACGTAAAGGCATTGAGACTTTTCAGACTCTAGCTTACCAGGTCTAAGACAAAGTACACAATAGTCATTTTAACAAGAAATGATCTTGATACAGGCTGTATGTGACACACTGTTACAAACATCCTTCACTCTAGCTGCCATGTTTTAAGCTAAATGCAAAATGTGGTCTTTCATCGAGCTTACGTAATGATTTTGAGCGATGAATGGAGTTAAAACCATCTAGAGATCGATAGATATAATAAGCAGATACGAACTTCTGTTTGTGGCCGCATAAATCGAGATAAAATATAAGCTACACTAGAAGGTGAAAAGTGAAATAGAATAATGTTGTGCAATATCCAATATATTTTTCCACTATCTAGAAATTTGCTTTGTGACTTAATTCTCATAAAAAAAGTGGTCTAGCGTGAGCTGTGATGTCACATACTTCTTTTTCTTTCTGCTTAATAGTAACAACTTAATGTAGAATTTATCAAAAGAAAATAGTTGAGAAAAAGAGAATAGATGCTTCACTGCGAAAGCAGAATTAGCTTAGAAACTAACCTTTGTAAACGTCTCACCCTGATTCAGAAGATACAGAAGCTTTGTAATGACCTGGAAAACCCCGAAAATAAAGGAAGCGCTAACAAGTTAGTCTAAGTAAATTAACATGACATAAAATCTACAAGAGTTATAATTTCCATGGCAGAATCCGAAAACAAAGATAACAATAGAACAGACATGACATAAAATCTACAAAAGTTATAATTTGCATGGCAGAATCCGAAAACAAAGATAACAATAGAACATACCTGTGAGCATCTGCGTGCATCCAATTGCGGATCATTGAAAACCCTAGCTTCCTGAAGCACAGCCCCCTTCTCAATCCCCATAAACGGAGAGTACTCCGCTGCATTGTTATATAAATCCAATATGAAATGCTCTTTGACTACGAACGAAGTAAGTTCCTCCTACTAGCCAATGACTACATCACATAGATCTAGCAAAAAGCACTATTCTGGAGAGTTTTGAAAATGACACATTAAATGAACCACAAACAGTTAGCTTCCCCAACATTTTCACACTAAACCAACAAATGAGCAATTTCAACTCAATCAGCCAACTAAACCTCAATCCTGAATTAGTCAGATTCTATTATATCAATCATCTTTATCCACTCGGCTCTATTCAGGTATATATCCATAAGCGAGTGAGTTCTAGAAGTAAAAAGCGCAAAGAGAAATAAGGTCTATGAAGCTTTAAGCGAAAAGCAAAAAGTAAAGCACGCGTCTGCACGCTTCTTTGAAGTGAAGCACACAATTTACAGAAAATTAAAAGTACCAAGCAAATACCCCCCCCCCCCCCC